TTTCCCAATGCATAGTGTGTTTGGATAGCTTTCAAATCATTGTAGGGAGCCAGAAATCCTAAAAAGCTTTTTAAAAACCATGGAACATAGCAAATTGCAATGAACAAACTTGCATCCTTCAACTGCAGCATTTCTTTTTCTGTCAAGATATTACTGATATCTTTAGTCATATAATGAGTCAGGATGTAGATCGCATCTGCTAAAAACCTTGCCTCATGGCAGGCGCCAGGTTGATGGTATTTAAAATCTTGTACTTCTACTCCAAGGAAGAAGGAGGCAAGCTTACAAACTATACCATAATCATTCCTTGAAAACACTATATCAGTAGTTGCATTAGTCAAAAATGTCTTAGCTTCCTCTGCAACAGTGCGAAGAACAGAGCCAATCTTCAGATCATCTCTTTGCCAGTCCAATTTACATAAATTTTTCACTTCCTTCGCTTTCTCACAGATTTCAAGCCACTTGTTCTTTAGCTTGACATAAAGAGCTCTTCTTGGACCTTTAGTTTTCTTACCAGTAAGGGCAGCCATATAGTGAGGTACATGTACTTCATATATGTGTCTCCTACACATTATCCACAAAATTGGTAATTTCAAAATATCTGTAAGAATTCGGACTGCTCCATTTACTCCGCCTGTATTGCTTGCAGTTGTATCACAGCATATACCAATGATCTGCTCTTTACATCCGTAATATTCTAAAAGATTGTGCACTTGTTCTGCTTGGTCAACTCCCTTTGAAGAGGGACATTGAACAACACCTAAAAGATGGTCTTCCATGGTATCGTCATCCGGGAAACTCACTGAGACTGCAAGTCGCTCAATTTTTTGAATAATGTTAAGCCCAATGGTAATTTGTTCCAACAGTTTAGTATCAAAATGAAGAATAAGCCGTCGGCCTTTAAGATGATTAGATATTGAAATCCACTCCGAGTCTCCTTCAAGTTCTACATATTTGAACTTTTTTCTATAAAGTGTGCTTCGTGAAAGCGGTATATCATTAATTTCTATACCTCCAGCTTTAAATACTTCTCTTAAAATTGCCAGATTAGGTCGCACACCAACATTGAACCTTGTTGCTGGAATAGCAGTACATTCAATGAGCTTTTTAACATTCACTGCTAGATTTATCCTATCTCCAGAATTGTACCTAGGTATTATTTTATAATATTTTTCTACCTATTTATAATTATATACTTTTCAATAAAACAGCTTTAGCTTGTGAAAATTACAACTATGTTATTAAAATAATACTATACCTGCGTTTCCGACCGTTACCCAGGAAATCATCTTCCTCGCTGATTTCAGAGTCCTCGTTTGACTTTTCTTCCTCACTGCTGAATTGAATCTCTTCTGTCATGGAGTCATGTGACAACAAAACATCATTGATATCTTTTAAGTTTTTCTGTCTCTTTAATTCTTTCTCTCTCAACTTATCTAGCTTGTTCTTTCTCCTGTTTGCATCCAGTACTCTTCTACTGTAGTCTTCATCGACTTTTGTTTCCATATATCCTTTCCTATGTAACTTCTGGTCTTCATAAAAACTAAGAAATACTTAAATCTATGAAGCCATTTATAAATAAATTAATAATTGTTCTAGTTTTTCTTGGAAGATGACCAAACCATGTTAAGAGTTGAATGTAAATACTTTAAAGGAAATAATATGCTATTACTTAAGTTACTTTTAATTGGAAAAAAAATCTCACTACTAAAAAAAGTGTTATTTAATGAACTTACTTTATATCTTCCAGCTTGGCATCATCTGTTCTCAATCTATCAGCAAGAATATCTTTTTTAAAATTCTTAGTCAAGATGTCAAAAAGCTGATAGGATTCTGTGAGAAAATCTTTCTCTAACTTTGATTGCTTATCAAGACTGCTGTTTCAGTTTAGAGAAGACAATTTAATCAATTTCTTGTGTTTTAAATTAAGTTTAATGATTTTGGTCTTTATATTGTACCCATAAATCACAAATTTCTTGCCAAACCCAGCATTATCCCAAATTTTTTTAATCCTAGATACCAAGCAAGAATTATCAGGATCTGTACAAACACCATTTTCACAAACAAGATCCTTGGATTTCGATTTCAATTTGCAACCAACATTAGTAGAAGTGGGTTTGTATTTAACTTGTGACTCGCGAAGGATAAATTGATAGTATCTAAGAATATCACCATTAGATGGAAGCTGTCTCTGAGGTAACTCCCTCAGTGGGTACTTCAATAGGTAAATATACCTCAACCTTTCTGTATTTTTCCGTTTTTTCTTATTCTGTCCTATCATCTTCTTTTTTTTAGCTGTTCTACCCATCTTTATATGAATTTCGAAATAATCAGTTTTTTAACTAAGTTTTTACTAAATGTTACACTTGCATCAAAAATCTATGAAGTCGTTATTCCCTATCGTATAATATTTTATCTAAGTTTACCGTTACAGCTTTTATAACCGTTTACACGAGAATTTCTTTGTGCACAAATTAGAATTCCGTAGTGCACAAATAATTCCATTTAGAAATTTTTTCCTTCAAAAAAAATTTCTAAATGGAGTTATTTGTGAACCAATCCATGGGGAATTATACCAACTAATAATATTGTCCAGAGGGAAAAATATCAATCGATAATGTTCATAGGAAATGATCCTATTCTTTAATAATATCCTATGGGAATTATTTGTGTACTAATTATTACATCATATTAAAACATATTGAAATACTAGATAGCGCTGTTTTTTAGTAAATACACATATGTGTACAAAACCGTAAAACTCAGAATTTACATCTATCACTTCTAGTCATTAAAAAGTTAAAAAAAAGATTTTGGTAGCTATTTAGGACCTATAGAATGGGGATCAGTTGAGAGCACATTGAAAATTTAAAAAAAGCGTGTTTTTGGGACACACTAGTATATATAGTAGTTTACGAGTAAAAAAGAATGCTCAGTATTCTAGACAAATCGAGAACTTTGTCAAAAATACACAGTTTTCAAAACGTCGTTGTTGCGGTCACAGAAGCAAAATTTTGTGAAACAGATAAGTTTAATTTGTTTTTGGCAAAATAGGTTAGGAAAACACACTTTCAACCCAAGGACAAAACAAAAGAAATATTTATTTACATAGTGTAATTTTTAGTTATTTTCTTAAATTCTTTTTCCAACTGTTTTTCAAAAAATAGCACGAAATCAATTTTTTCAGAATAGAAGTTCCATAATGATACTCATGATAATACTTATGTTGATGTTTGATTTTAGTTTGAACCTTTGTTATTGCGTCCTTTTATAGCAATAAAATATAAAAAATTCCATTCATTTTACTTGCAATCCAATTAACTAAAAAGTTATTTTGTTTTGCAACTTGCTTTTTAGGTAGATATTTTTTTATTTTTTTTACAATCTTTCTCCAGGTCTCACTTTTAAGCCATCGATTCTTAGATTCTTTCTTTTTTATTTAAAGTGAATTATTTTAAAGTGTTTTATCTACTAAGTTTTATCTTCTTAAAAACTCAAATTTTCTTTATTTTATTATAAAACCTTTTCTGTGTTAAAGCTTTGCGATTTGTTGATACTTCTTCAACTTTATTCATTCTGTAAAAAGATTGTAGTAAGATTGCGCTTTATAGAAAGTTCTTTTCATAACCTTGAAATATTCTTTCGGCCTTTTTTTATTTTAGTCTTTAATTATTTAGTCTCACTTGTTCAATGTGGCAAATTGAAAAAATGAAAATAAATTATAATAATTTAAAGTTTAAGAGTTTTTTTTATAAGTTCTAATCCATCTAATTATTCAAAACTAGTAACACAAATTGGTGAGAATCTTTTGTTTTTAATACGTGTGAAATTTATTTTTAGATTAATACAAATTAAAATCAGATCAAATTTATCAAGTTGCAGTGGCGGGTTTTAGAAGGAGGCCATGGGGTAGCCCTCCTCCTTGGGACTTTTTTTCAGAAATTTCTCTTTTTTAAATTAACTATTATACAGAATTGGACTTCTATAATGACGAATAAAATTGACTATTATATGTAATTATACCAGCTCATAACCAGCTTTCTCACTACTATTGTCTGTTAGCTTCTATTATCTCTTTTAAATTTAGAAGTTAGCTTATTTCAAGATATTTGTAAAATTAAAAACTGATAATAAGCGTAAAATAAGAATAGATTTGCATCTGATTAATTATTAATACACTTTAGTAAGAGATTATTTTTTTTTCTAGATTTATTGCTTGGTCTTTGATTTTTCTTTTTTTTTTCTTCTTCATTTTTCGAAAATGTGTTTACCTTTCCAAGACCGTAGAGACCGCTATAATCAAGAAGCTACTCCTTAATTAATGTTATTATTTTTGAATCGTTGTCAAAACTCATTTCAGCCTTTTAACTCCGACGACTTTTAAACTCAAGCCTTGAAAAATAAAGGTCACTTGCCGTGAATCAAGCAGAGCTCATTACTATCAAGGACTTGGTAGAGGTCAAACCCGTGACACAGTCCTCGCACCCGTTTCTGAATCTAGTGATCATCATAACATCGGTTAGAAAGGCGGGAAGAAAAATTCCTAATTAAATTACAAGACCTTAATTTCTTTTAAGAGCACCTAATATAATCAGAACCTAATAACCAAAAGAAGAAGAAAAATAATAATAAAAGAGTTCTACTATAGTCAGATTGTTATCAACATTTTATTTTATTTTTAATACTATTATATATTTCAATGATTCTCAGTATTTTTTCCTTCTAACATTTGCGTTTTTGAAGCCATTGTACTTTCTTTTTTTTTCAAACATTGTACTTAACAAATGGTTTTCAGCTCTAAGTTTTGTTTTTTATTTTTTGCAACCGTGTAACCGTTAAAAAACAACAAGTTCGTTTACTATGTAATTTACGATGTACTATGAAAAATATTTTCTAAGAAAATAAAAATGGTTTTTAAACCAATGACGGAGAACAACTCAACCCGTTTACTTACCTTTAAATCAATAAATATCGGTTAAACTTACTTTTCGATGTTTTTCGGAATATTTTTTTACGTGATATCTTTTAATTAACTATAAACAAACAAACAAAAAAGTTAATTCATCAAATAAACGTTTTATTAAGAACAATTTTGAATTGTTTATTCGACAATATTAGAAAAAATTACTTGTTTGCAGCTCAGATATGATTTCAAAGAACAAAATTAGCTAAAGTTTGCATGGTTAATAGCTATTGTTATCCCTTTTGCAGTGAAGTGATCTTTTGCAAGCTTTATCTCACAACACTTGCAGAAAATCAATATGAATGGCGACATTCCTCCTGAAAATAATACAAAGCTTAAGAAATCCAATAATAGAAACAAAGCAAAGGTACAAGTTGCTCTGCTTGATGATACTGTGATGGTATTTGATGTTGAGGTAATAAATTTATTTCTTTCGTAGTTATGTTTGCGGAAACATATAAACTTTCCTTTTAAGAGCGAAAATTAAAAAAAAATGTTTTTTTTGACTAATACAATTTTTTCAAATACGTTATATAGTTATATGAAATTTGTTCTGATTGTTAAAATTTTTGTAGTCACGTTCTAATTTGATTTTGAAGTTTGAATATATTATTATTATTATTATTGTTATTATTAATATTATTGTTATTATTACTATTATTATTATTATTGCTATTATTATTATTATTATTATTATTATTATTATTATTATTATTATTATTATTATTGCTATTATTATTATTGTTAATAATGTGTTTGTTTTAAACAGCATGTAAATATAAATCGGCACAATGTTTTATATATACTTATATATACATACATATATATAACTATATCTTTATATGTATTTATATATAAAAACATATATATAAATATATTTATGTATATATATAAGTTCAGCAGTATTTATATATATACATAAGTACTATTTCTTTAAGAAATTATAAATAAATACTTGATTTAAGTAGATGAATAGGTGTAGTTGCTTTTTTCACATGGAACCTTTTTAAAAATAGTTTTTTTTTTTAACAAACCGACCTTAAAGTTATTTAAACGCTGAGAGCTTAGAAATTATGTTAAAGGGTTCCCTATTCTATCAGATTTCTCATCCTTTTTTTAATCTATTTGGAAATTTTCAAACAAATTTGATGCGTTTTGGTACTTAAGAAATCTTACTTTCAAAAACTACATTTGAAAAAACGTGTCTACAGCAAGTTATTTTATTAATGTCTCAAAACATAAATAATATATAAAAGAAGCCATGCTAAACATAGTACATTTTAAATATGTTTGGAAAGAAGTTGAGTCTACTAATAGATGCAAAAAATCTCTAGGTTTGTTTTTATTACAATAAAAGAGAGATATAATAAAATAAAGTTCATATAAATTACATGTTTTTTAAAACATCAAATACTTTTCATTGCACTGTGGAATCGCTAATTATATTATTTTTTTTAAACTATTTTCTGAATAGTTCTCTCTTTAAAAAAGTGGCTTTATCAACTTGTATTATATTAGAGAAAAGTTATAACTTCTTCAACTTTGGAAAAAGTCTAAAAATTGCAAAAATATGCCAAAATGAAGTTAAACGTAGTATTTTTTTATTCATCTACAAGTTTTTACAAATGAGTTTTTTGATTAGTTACAACTGCCTGCATTAAATGGGCAAAATATAAGCAGCTTGTTGCAATTTTGAACTCAAATATACCTAAAAGTATTTGTCCATTCGCCTAAAAAGTCCAATTTTTTTCCATTTTATGATGCTTGTAAATTTTTCTAACACTTTGTTTTGATCTAAAATTAACAGCATATAAGACCATTAGACCAAAATAATATCTAAAATAATGTAATTATTATAAACTTATCATATTCACACCAAAATAGCAGCTTTTTTAAATAACTCTATTTTTCAATTAATAACCGTTGAGTGCAGTATTGGAAATCAGTGCCCCTCTAATTTGCCTACTGGCCCATGTGAGGGGTGCAACCAATTATGAGGGATTTCCTAACAACAACAAAAAAAGGTAGGTTGCTCCTTTTAGTCTGGTTTTTATAGTGAATAGAGGCAAATAAAGGGGCAGTAACTATTTAGAGACTTTTTACTATTGTTTAAATGTGATCTTTAAATATAATTTACACAATTAAAGAGCATTATTATCTCAAAATCAAAAACATTTGATGTTTCCTAAAATAATACTGAACAGTTTCTTAAAAGACTTCCATGAGGAGTTTTAAAGAATTCTTATACAGAAATAAATAGAGATTCTTAAAGAAAAAAAGTCGAAACATATTACAAATAGCATTTATTAATTGGTTTGGTTTTTACTTAATTTTCGTCTAATCAACAATTAATTGATAATTTAAAAAATTAATTGATCATTTGTTTTAATAATCATGACAATTTATTTAATCTTTTTTTTTATTAAATATGATCATTTGTATTTTTATTTTTTTTTATTAATCATGATAATTGGTTTAATCTTTCTTTTAATAAGATAAAAGTAAAGTCCTCTTGTTTTTTTTTTCTTTTTCTTTTTACCATAAGATTTGGATTTTGATGGTGTTTATAAAAATGCATAGACTGTGTGTGCTGGATTTTCCAGTAATTATACTATGTTATGGCCTTAAAGACATTAACAAAGATAATTTAATTAACAAAGGTTGGTTGCTCTCCTAAGCTTGGTTTCAAAGAAGGTCCAGGGGTCTGGCACCTATTTCAAACCATGATCACCAAAGATAAAATAGAATTTAAAGAAATAATGTTTTCAATTTAAAGTTAATTTAGAAATTTAAATATAAAGTATCTGAATATCTAAATTAATTTTAAGACCATTATTTAAACAATAATAAAGTAATAGTTATTGTTTTTTTTTTCTGTCCCTATTCACTATAAAGGTCAGATTAAGGAGGGGGTAACCAACTATATCTTTCCTTTTATTAAGAAATTACTTTTAATTGGTTGCACCCCTCATATGGGCCAGTAGGCAAGATAGAGGGGTACTTCATCTTTATTATTTGTAAAATAGGATTATTTAAAAATGCTGCCATTTTTGGTGTGGATATGACAAGTTTATAATGCTTGCATATTTAAATAGTTCAGTCTAATGGTCTAATGGTTAATGCTGTTAATCTTAGATCAAAACAAAATTATAAAGTTTACAAGCATCCCAAAATGTTCAGAAATTAGACTTTTTAGGCTAATGAAAAATATACTTTTAGGTATATTTGAGTTCTAAACTGCAACAAGCTGCTTATATTTTGCCCATTTATTGCAGACAGTAGTAGCTAGTCAGAAAACTTACCTGTATAGACTTGAGGGTAAATAGAAAAATACTACAATTAACTTCATTTTGGCATTATTAAGCAATTTTCAGACTTTTTCCAAAGTTAAAGAGGTTATAATTTTTCTCTAACATAATACAAGTTGATAAAACCACTTTTTTAAAGAGAGAATTATCCAGAAAATAGTTTTAAAAAATTGAGACACTTATTGAAAATGAGAAAAAAGTTATAAGGCTCTACAATAGTTTAATTATACATATATATATATATATATATATATATATATATATATATATATATATATATATATATATATATATATATATATATATATATATATATATATATATATATATATATATATATATATATTATATATATATATATATATAATATATATATATATATATATATAATATATAAATATAACATATATATATATATATATATATATATAATATATATATATATATATATATATATATATATATATATATTTTATATATATATTATTATATATATATATATATATATATATATATATATATATATATATATATATATATATATATATATATATTATATTTATATATTATATATATATATATATTATATATATATATATATTATATATATATATATATATATATATATATATATATGTTATATTTATATATTATATATATATATATATATATATATATATATATATATATATATATATATATATATATATATATATATTATGTTATATATATATATATATATATATATATATATATATATATATATATATATATATGTTATATTTATATATTATATATATATTATATATATATATATATATATATATATATATATATATATATATATATATATATTATGTATATATATATATATATATATATATATATATATATATATATATATATATATATATATATATATGTATATATATGTATTATATTTAATGATTTTGTTTTAATTTTTTTCATTTGAAGTCCAGGAAATCAGATAAAAAAGCTTTGGTTTTTTAATTAATGTGTTTGTCTATCTACCGGAAATATTATGTTACTGCTTTGATATTAAATAAAATCAATGAAATATTGCCTTTTACTAAAAGTTGACAACATAACTTTGTTTCATTTTGGAGCTGAATTAACATGCTTGATTGCGGACATTCTAAAAATCAGAAATGTTTTTAATTTAATATAAAATAACTAATAGTTATAAATAATAAAATAAGATGTGAGAATATTTTTTTTATTTCCAAAAGATGTGTTAAATTTTTATAAAATCTTGCAGATTAAAACTTTTGATTTTTCAAAATTGTATCAAGTTTTAATTTTTTAATTTAAATTTTCTATTTTCATTGGGACAAAATATTTTGAAAATAGTAAACATTCCATTTTATCTGTTAGCAGTCATGACTTCATAACTTTCCATTCATTGTTTGTACAAAACAGAAAACTGCTTTCTAATTTAAACTGAATGTGCAATTTAGTATTTTTACATACTTAATCATATAATTAGTAAATATATAATAGACTCATAATTTATTATTATTATTTTTTTTTACATCGCTTCCAACAAGGCTGCAAGCAACCACTCTAAGAGTTAGAAGTTAATAGGAGAGAAAAGATAAAGTTTGCAGAGCAAGATAACGATTGACAGATGTCTTAAAAGATTGCAAATTATATGAAAAGAATGCAAATTGTATGTCAGGTCAGGTTATCCTGCTACTGGTAACATGTAACTTAAGGGATAAACAGATTCTATCTGTTGACCAGCCTCGCACCCTTTCTTCATCTATTAGGCTGGCACAGATGTATTTTTAATACATTGTTTCCAGTTTAGGATGTTGAATGCTGGATCTTCTTGACTCAATGCATGGGTTTTGCTTGTGTCTCTGTTTTTATGACTAGGCAATTCATTCTATTATCTCCTAATGAGGGTAGAGCTCTAAAACTCAGTTTTATGGTTCTGAGGCCGGCTAGTAGTCAGGTTTCCTAAACTCTGTGGTAGCTCTCAGAGAGGCTGATTTCATCAACAGCTGAAAAGTATCAAAATATTAACAGTGCCATGCTGCGCATGGATGGTTTCCCTGTTTGTACTTTTGGTGTGCATTGTCAA